TATTGTATGCAGTTGACTAGTAAATACCCATGATGCTCTGTTTCATTTCGCTATTTTCTCTATTATTATGAACACTGTATTGACTATTGTGAATTTTTTTTTGGTTGATGAACATATACCGTGACTCTCAATACAGTACGTGCAAAAACCGTTATTGGTAGGGTCGGTTCAGTAAGTTGTTTTGTCGCTGTTCCTAGCTGGCTGACTTGAATTGTTTGTGTTGAATATTACCGTTATTATTTTTTATCACTTGACAAATGGGCGAAACTACGTAGTGATGGCTTGCACTGTTTTGTTTATGTATATGCAAATTAGTGTACATGTGACGTCACTGCTATACAGGTCCTTGGGGGACTTCACTCAGGCTTCCAATCGGTGATTAGTATTTCCAGCACGTGATAAATTCCACCCAATCAGCTCATAGCATAGAAGTCGCCATTGGAAATACCTGGAGGATCCTTCATTCGTACCGATTTCCGTATTTGTTGACGACAATTTGGTAATTTTTCTACAGTAACTGTTATCGAAGCCGTTTATTTTGGTCCCCAGATATAGAATACGGTTACCAGATTATTTCTGACTGCCTGTCAGTGAAACACTTGGTCGAATTATGTATCACCGTGAAGATCTGTACAGGTAAGTTGAGGTTATTTGACTTCCTATTCTCAAGATGGCGAAAAACAGGGCTACTCGTACGAAATATGACGCTTTTTTGTGGCATGAGTGTTAGCAAATTGTGTACCGTGCCCACGTGTCACGCTCGTCGGCAGTATGAACCCAAACCTGTCCATAAAACTTCGCAATTTTAGCGTATATTACGTGAAACCATAGCTACAATTACCGTTGCTGTGACGCCTTGTTCAAATGGTTTACGTTTGTTGACACCCTTATACCGCAATTCGCCACCGGTTTAATTCAACACGAATCACTACTACATCGTACACGCAATGGGAAAAAATGTGATATGTGACATGGCGTTGTGTCTTCAGTCTGTGTTTTTATAGATCATTTGTTTGCGTCCTATAAACCTATTTACCATCAACTGCCATGCGTTTACTAAACGGTTAAACCCGGTCAACTCAAGTCATGCAAATGTCAACATGATGTCTGCTCGATCGTCAGCTGTCTAGTGTCTGTTGTCGACTACCCTTTGTTTTCTCTATTTGTGAGTTCGTGATATTCTCAATCCAGTTCGTCGAACAATAGATTCGATACTATTTCACTTTGCATTTTAACATGAGGCATGCTTTTATATCGATTAAGGGCGTCTACTGATATTCACTAACAAACAAATATTTTGCTCGTTGTTTAGCTATTACTGTATCTTCTAGACCGGGTATCCAGACATCTAAACTGCTGTCATTGTATCCACTTATAATATACACACAGTCTACTTGTCTAGGGCATAGTTATGTAGTATAGTCAAACTTTTTTTTTTAGCTATGAACATAAATAAATCTTAAAAATATTTAGCAACACATAACAAAACATTGAAGTTATGACAACAAAACAATTTTAGAATTTGTGTACGTCATAATCATGTTGCTCAGAGACAATGCAATCACCACTCACCAATTTGACATGGCAAGACTTGTCTTGAAAATGTTGAGCTATAGATGCATGATTGTGAATGATTGCTATTTTCTGTCATGGATGGATTAAATTAACCATGGGAGCAAAATGAAGAACGTGCATTATTTATCTCAAATGATTTAATTTGACGACTATGCAACAGTTATTCTTCATAATGGCGCAGTTAAATTTTAACCATAGACAATGAAAGTGAGAAAATTGTTTTTAACGATCTCAACCTGATATTTAAAGATACACTGAGTATGTAGTTTGGACTAGAGGTGTTAAACTGCTTCTGTGTAAAATAAAACTGATAACTTTAAGGAAGCATTTATTTCCACTGGGTTATAAGTTCACCAGTTTGCTCTGACAAAAATGCATCTTCAGTGGAGTGCATATGATTATTTCGGCTGTCTACAAGTCATACCAAAATAAAACCTGTTTTGTAGGTATTTACTCTAGAGCATATCAAGCAAATATTAGTGAAATTAAAACCATGAGAGTAATTTGTTTGCCCTATTTGACAAGTCAGTTTTATTATATTGATATACAAATACCGGTACATTTTATTTCCGTCTCGGATTTTATTTGCACTTTATTGAAACATGACAGTACCAGTGGGAATAAATTTTACGTGTACAATGTAGATGGTTCTGAATGATGGAAGGGCTATAAAGGGAGGTGGTTGTCACTATTTGTGATATTGGTCATATGTGACATATTTAAATTGTGTACATTGTTTACCTGAAATTTGAATGCACACTGTGGTCTACCGCAGTTCTATTATTCAACAGTCTTTTCTGCATTTGAACATAATATTCTCATTAAGAACACAATTTAGTTGATTAACTAATGACACTGATGTAGTACGTATTCACAATTATAAAATGGTATGATCAATATAGTCTACACAATGTGATAATGTAACAAGCCATCTAGCTAAAACAATCTACAAAAATGTCTTAAATTAAAGGTTTAT